TCCTTTCATCGACGTGTACGACCTGTGTGGGCCAAGACGCCTGCTTGTGGTCATATTGTGTCGATCAGCGTTATGGATAAAACTCCCATTGGACGGGTGGAACACGTTAATAGCAGCGGAGGGATATTACCTCCCTCACCAATGCATAATATGTCATGAATATTAGCCGCTAGTTATTGAGTTCTCTAAGTTATTCAACCCACCTCAAGGAGAAGTGTATTAATGTATCAGACACCTGTCGATGACGAAGGGATTGTGAATTACGATTAGCAGTCTAGCCTTGCATATACTCTTTACGCCCACCGAATGTCACATGAGTATATACCTTTTCCAATGAGAACTGCTAATCCCCTTCCATATTGACTCTCTCCCCTTGATATACAGGAGTCGACAACAAAGATAGAAACTCAAGTTGATCAGATGTAACATATCCTGTCATGATCGTCGATCCGAAGTATAAAACTCAGTGTCCTGCTGCTGCTGCTGCCACAACCGTGCCATCCCTGAACTCTTTTGACAATGTGATCCGGTTGGGGACCAATTTACAATCATAGATATGCTCACTCTCAATGATACTATAAATGATCTCATATAACTTTTCCGTTTCCTACGATCCTAGGTGGTTAAGGGAAATCAATAGCGCTGACAGTCGTTGACGAAGTTCAAAACTCCCTTTAGCGAAAGTACCGCCTTTTCTGATAGACTTACATCAAGTCCTTTCAAGTGGGCTTTATCCAGTGCGCGCCATGTACAGTGCATAAGTGCATTCAGGGCGGTGCCAGAGTGCGGTAGTGCACTTTATTAGTGCGCACTTAAGGTAGCGCACTCACTGAGTTTACGGAGGGATAGAGGGCTAAGTGCAAGTGCGTCAATGAAGAGGGTCTAGATAAAGCACACAACCGTTGAGCTCAATCATGTACTGCCTCACTGACTGGCATAGTGATAGTAGAGAGGATTAGAGTGATGATGATGATGATGACAATGGTTATATTAGTGTAATCCATGATGTACATTTATGATATGTAACACATGATGATGTACTGAACTGTGAGGGATCACTTCTACCCAGTACTATTATATGTGATGATGCAGTGATGAACAATAACAACAAAGAAAGTAAAGGTGATAATTCTCTATCTTGTAGTGGACCATCCTATGAAGGAGAGTCTATAATCAGGGAATAAGAGGACATGCCGATATGATAATATTATTCCTTATCAAGGAGACAGTATCCAAGTGAGTATCCAAGGGATCTTATCATAATCCAGTTAGTCCATGATGATGATGATGATGACCAAAGTAGAAGTTGTTTAATGCGAACTTTAGATAGGGTAGAGTTGACCGTCATCACGATATGGCACATGTGTCTTGACAGTGTTTTATATGTTTGTCGTATTGAGAATGTTGGAGGGAACATGACGAACATTATCTCTTGCTGAACTCGAGGAGCGAGTCTCCTCATGATGAAATTGAGCTCCAATATCGGAGATAGATCTTCCCATTCCGTAGTCGTACGCGAAACGGAGTTGATGTTCCTAAATGTGAGCTTTATATCAAAGTGATGTCATTTAGTTTAGATAACGTATTACGTTAGACAAGGCACTGTACACACTGGTAAGACCTATTAATTGTGATGACATTGTGTATAACCTACCTCATCATCATCATCTGGTGGCGGCAAGCTAATGATGATGAGGTACAGGTCTAATCCTCTGTCGGAATATTATTAAGGATGGATGAGCAATCCTTAGAAAATATTATATGGATGTAATCGATCTTACAATTGGTTACAGCATTGGAGGGATACAACCGCTGATATAAAAAGCAATAGCCCTGACGACATCATGATCACCCTGATCTGATCACTAAATGACGACACAACAAAAGATCAATAAGGATTACAACAATTCTGAACAAGTTGTCGTGTCCAGTAGTAGGGAGTAGTACAATAAGCATAAACCTGCTACCTACATAGACAACGGAGTAGAATCGTAATAACAGTCATCACCGATAGTAGCAGTGGCAATGGCAGTGGGAGTAGTAGTAGTAGCGATAATCAAGTGAGGATATCAGATATGCATTCTGCTGCTGCTGCTATAGCCACGTGCATTATCAGAGACTGCTGCTAACACTATTAGGATCTAATGGTGCAACAACCACAACAACAGTGGTAAGATGGGAGGCGATGACGACACTTTAGTATTAGTTGGTGTTGTTAGTCTCATCTAGAAGATTCTGGAAGGCAGTATCAATCTGGTTAACAAGATTAGCAAAGAAGTTAGCGAAATCCTCTTCACTATGTTGAGGCATCTCGAACTTCATATTGGTAATAGCGACGATAACATCCTTGCAAGCAGTAGATATCTGTGACCATCCAATAACCTTATCACCATGATTCTCAGACAAACATTTCTGAGCAGCATCATAGAAATGACAGATACATTTCATCATACCAATAGTCTTAGCTAGAGGGCACATATAATCATAATCACTGAAACCATTCTGTTGAAGGAAATCTTCACGAATAATACGAGCAACCTCTAAAGTACACTTCTGATCTTCAGATAGTGAATCACGACCAACCAATTGTACAATTTCTTGTAGATCATCTTCAGTCTGAAGAATCTCTTTAACCTTTTGTTGTAAAGATGAATACTCATTATCATACTTGTTGAAGAAGGGCTCCAAGGCACGAGTATACTTTGAGAAAGAGATATTCCAGTTAATGGAAGGGAAATGCTTCCTCTGAGCCAACTTCTTATCAAGACCCCAGAATACTTGTACAATAGATAGAGTTGCTGAGGTAACAGGATCAGTGAAATCACCACCAGGAGGAGATACAGCACCAACAATAGTTACCGCACCCTCACGATCAGGAGAACCCATACACTTAACACGTCCAGCACGCTCATAGAAGAAGCAAGACGAGCACCGAGATAAGCAGGATAACCAGAATCAGCAGGCATCTCAGCCAAACGACAGATATTTCACGTAAGCCTCAGCCCAACGAGAAGTAGAATCAGCCATCATACTAACATTAAGTCCCATATCACGGAAATACTCAGCAGTGGTGACACCAGTATAGACAGATGCCTCACGAGCAGCAACAGGCATATTAGAGGTATTAGCAACCAAGGTAGTACGTTGCATAATCTGTTCCTCTTTACCATTAATAAGAGTAGTAAGTTGAGGGAATTCAGTTAAGACTTCAGCCATTTCATTACCACGTTCACCACAACCAACATAAACAACAACATCACTATTGGAATATTTAGCCAAAGATTGAGAAATAACTGTCTTACCACAACCAAAGGCACCAGGTACAGCACAAGTACCACCAAGAGTAGTAGGGAATAAAGCATCAATAACACGTTGACAAGTAAGCATAGGAGCAATACCAGGGAGCTTCTCAACACATGGACGAGCATGTCTTACAGGCCATGAATGTGCCATAGATAGCTTAGTAGTAGTACTACTACTTACATCGACATCACTTCCTCCAAGGCTGCTACTGTTGGACTCAATCTCCATTAAACAAGTATGAACAGAGTAATTACCATTAGGGGCAATCCATTGTACACGTCCTTGATTTCCAGGAGGTACCATAACCTTATGGTTACTGAATAAACCATTCTCAATAACAAAACCAATAATATCACCACCAGTTACGATATCACCAACACGTACGTTAGCAGCTGGTTTAAACTCATAGAGTTTATCGCCATCAAGAGCAGCAACATCGACACCACGAGGAATGAACAATGATTTGGATAAATCACGAATACGCTCTAGAGGACGTTGAATACCATCAAAGATATTATTAAGAATACCAGGTCCTAGCTCAAGAGCAAGAGGTTTACCAGTCTTGATAACCGGATCACCAACAGTTAAACCAGCAGTATCTTCATAAACCTAATAAGCTTATAATACTAATCTTGTTATTATTAGTTGTAATTACCTGAATTGAGGCAGTATCTCCCTCAATCTTGATAATCTCTCCGACAAGATTCTCCCAACCAACACGAACCACTTCGTACATCTTAGAACCGGACATGTTATCAGCCACGACCAAAGGACGGCGACTAAAGATTCATACTACTCACAATAACAAGAGTACTACTACTTACCTTATGAATACGTCCGATAGAAGCCTCAGAGGACTTGGTCATTACCATGATAAAAAGTAGTGACTCCAACAATAATAATAACTAACAACATACATTCAAATAGTAGCAGCTGAGTAGTATTATAATAACGATTATTATTCATTATTATCATCATACTGTGATGACTATGAAACCATCGAGCAATAATCATCGCAGATGAAGGTATTCTAAGCTTACTGCATAACTTCATCAGCCTAACCCTGAAGGGCTCAGCTGAGGACACAAAAACTGTCCCCTTTTCAAACTCACCTTCCATTAATGCAACTTACATTGACTTGGTTAGATTGGATGAACCTTTGTAAGTTGATAACAACCCGTAGTATAAGGGAGTTATTGTTGTTGATGGTGAGTAAGGGAAGAATAATAATGATATCGTTTATGGATCAAGAGAAGGGTATGGAACGTAAGGTAGTGGTAGTAGTAGCTTAGCGAGTTCAAATGTACTCCTGCTGCTCCTGCTGCTCCTGCTGCTCCTGCTCTTGTTGCTGCTGTTGCTGATGTTTACTATCCTCAGTCGTCGAGTTGAGGAAATCATCAGTATTGGGTTACTTGATGTAGTTAGTTAATGATACCGTCGATAATGGGATATATAAGCAGTAATAATAAGCATGTGGCTGCTGCTGCATAATGGCGACAATGTAAGCAGCACATGTATCGCCAATACCACCGACTTACTACTCGTATCCCAATCAGGTATTATTAATATAATAGAATAACAACACAACATTAATAATCGAAGAAAATATACTCTTCGATGTAGTGAATAGAAGTTACAATGATATTATTACCAGCAATAGTAGATATCATAAGAATGCAGCTGGAGATTAGTTCAGAGCAGCAGCGGCATTACATGTAACATATTCTATTAGTATTTACCAATACTAGTAATAGTAGTATCAGAGCAATCTCCAATGATACACACTAATATAAGTCCACATAATGACGATGACTAAGAACAGCAGTAGGAATTATACTATCTTTTATGTCGAATACTCTTAGATATGATAGATGGTTGTTAACCTCCTGCTGCTGCTTCATCCCCACAATAACTCCAGTTACTGATATCATAACTTCAACAACATCTAACAGCAGCATTGTGGTGAAACGATGGAAAAAATCACCTAGTTGAAGAATGGTCGTCTCTAAACTAGAACCACGGATGATATCCTAGACCATGAATAGTAGTAGTATGTAGTCGCACTATTCATTATTAGTTGGTATTGTTAGTCTCATCTAGAAGATTCTGGAAGGCAGTATCAATCTGGTTAACAAGATTAGCAAAGAAGTCAGCGAAATCCTCTTCACTATGTTGAGGCATCTCGAACTTCATATTGGTAATAGCGACGATAACATCCTTGCAAGCAGTAGATATCTGTGACCATCCAATAACCTTATCACCATGATTCTCAGACAAACATTTCTGAGCAGCATCATAGAAATGACAGATACATTTCATCATACCAATAGTCTTAGCTAGAGGGCACATATAATCATAATCACTGAAACCATTCTGTTGAAGGAAATCTTCACGAATAATACGAGCAACCTCTAAAGTACACTTCTGATCTTCAGATAGTGAATCACGACCAACCAATTGTACAATTTCTTGTAGATCATCTTCAGTCTGAAGAATCTCTTTAACCTTTTGTTGTAAAGATGAATACTCATTATCATACTTGTTGAAGAAGGGCTCCAAGGCACGAGTATACTTTGAGAAAGAGATATTCCAGTTAATGGAAGGGAAATGCTTCCTCTGAGCCAACTTCTTATCAAGACCCCAGAATACTTGTACAATAGATAGAGTTGCTGAGGTAACAGGATCAGTGAAATCACCACCAGGAGGAGATACAGCACCAACAATAGTTACCGCACCCTCACGATCAGGAGAACCCATACACTTAACACGTCCAGCACGCTCATAGAAGGAAGCAAGACGAGCACCGAGATAAGCAGGATAACCAGAATCAGCAGGCATCTCAGCCAAACGACCAGATATTTCACGTAAAGCCTCAGCCCAACGAGAAGTAGAATCAGCCATCATACTAACATTAAGTCCCATATCACGGAAATACTCAGCAGTGGTGACACCAGTATAGACAGATGCCTCACGAGCAGCAACAGGCATATTAGAGGTATTAGCAACCAAGGTAGTACGTTGCATAATCTGTTCCTCTTTACCATTAATAAGAGTAGTAAGTTGAGGGAATTCAGTTAAGACTTCAGCCATTTCATTACCACGTTCACCACAACCAACATAAACAACAACATCACTATTGGAATATTTAGCCAAAGATTGAGAAATAACTGTCTTACCACAACCAAAGGCACCAGGTACAGCACAAGTACCACCAAGAGTAGTAGGGAATAAAGCATCAATAACACGTTGACAAGTAAGCATAGGAGCAATACCAGGGAGCTTCTCAACACATGGACGAGCATGTCTTACAGGCCATGAATGTGCCATAGATAGCTTAGTAGTAGTACTACTACTTACATCGACATCACTTCCTCCAAGGCTGCTACTGTTGGACTCAATCTCCATTAAACAAGTATGAACAGAGTAATTACCATTAGGGGCAATCCATTGTACACGTCCTTGATTTCCAGGAGGTACCATAACCTTATGGTTACTGAATAAACCATTCTCAATAACAAAACCAATAATATCACCACCAGTTACGATATCACCAACACGTACGTTAGCAGCTGGTTTAAACTCATAGAGTTTATCGCCATCAAGAGCAGCAACATCGACACCACGAGGAATGAACAATGATTTGGATAAATCACGAATACGCTCTAGAGGACGTTGAATACCATCAAAGATATTATTAAGAATACCAGGTCCTAGCTCAAGAGCAAGAGGTTTACCAGTCTTGATAACCGGATCACCAACAGTTAAACCAGCAGTATCTTCATAAACCTAATAAGCTTATAATACTAATCTTGTTATTATTAGTTGTAATTACCTGAATTGAGGCAGTATCTCCCTCAATCTTGATAATCTCTCCGACAAGATTCTCCCAACCAACACGAACCACTTCGTACATCTTAGAACCGGACATGTTATCAGCCACGACCAAAGGACCGGCGACCTAAAGATTCATACTACTCACAATAACAAGAGTACTACTACTTACCTTATGAATACGTCCGATAGAAGCCTCTTCCTGTTGAGCCTTAACCATGAGGATGCTAAAGGGAATGTTATGAACTACAATGATGATGACCCAATAAAGTAAATGCCATAATAATAAACATCATCATCATCAACTACACTCTACTGCAGGTAGAAGATGTATTCGAACAACAACAAGAAGAGGAAGCTCAGCTTAGGTGTGCTAAGCACTCTTAAGTCATTTGTAAATCTCGCTCGCCCTAAAATAATTGGCTGTGGCGTTGCGTTGTGGTCGCAGAGGTAGTAGGGCTTGGGTAGACTCCTCCTTCTTGATAGACCCTATTGAGGGGTGATGATGACATTAATAGTATATCGTTAGTAGCAGCTATTATATATACTAACATATGCTATAACTAGTCCGTATATTCACATATTGCTAGGTGCTAGTTCTGGAGTACTACGGTAGTATTGGTAAAAGGTCGTGGATTAGCAACAATACCATGTTACTACCATATCTCAGTTTATTCTTATCCATCAACATATATATAGATAATATTATTATATAGTATATATAATAATTATAGTTCCGGGACATATATTAAGATATCCCTCGTCGTCGTCGTCTGCTACTACTACTACTTCGTTGCTCAGTATACCTTCTATATCATTCCAATGCAGTAAGACAATGGTAAGTAGTAGTAGAGTATTCCTCAACGTATTCACCACAAGATAACCAGTGATATTCCAATGTAAGCCCGTTATTATTATACAATAACAATAGTACCTTATGTAGTAGCTTTCAGTAAGAAGAATTAATGAATTAATGATACTATATCGAAATAATATTGTCTGAGGCCCTCATCCTCCACCTCTTCGGCAGCGATGATGATGATGAAGAAGATGTATTGTTTATTATTATAATTGGTGATTATTGAGTTGGTCAATAATTTTAATAATGCTATCTATGGCTTTGATGATTCTAATAGTAGTACTCAACATCATCATCATCATCATCATTACTCTGCAGCAATTACCTTTATCTATTAACCTGACGATGGTGATGATCCGATTACATTACCGTCAAATGATTCCACTTATTCTGGCTATCTCAACCTACTTGATGGAATCTACTACCACTATTCAGCAACAACAGCAGCAGTCATTGAGGTGAGTATATATCCATGTAAGTCCATAATCCACTCCTAACCAATTATTTATAGATATGCTCCTACCTTTTCGAAGGCATCATTATCAACTACTACTACTGGTAGCAACAGTGAATCAAGTCATATTATGAGTGATGATAGAAGCAGCAGGATCAGCAGCAGCAGCAGCAGTCTTATTGATCTGAATGGACAATTGATAAGATCTCAACAAGCTCAGAAGAAGAGGTTTCTACCCCTCTTAGTAGCTGGTATCGCTATAGCTGCTAGGAACTCACAAAATCGTAGTAAGAAAAAGGAAGCCAAGAAAAGTGTGATGAATAATAATAATAAGAGTACTGGTGATAAGACTATTGATGAGATGATTAAATGGGTTAAGGATGTTATGTCTGAATATTCAAAAGGAGATGGACAGTAAGTGATAATACCAGTAGTAGTAGTACTAGTGATTATTATTATTATTATTATACTACTGCTTCTGCATAATTGCTATGATGATCAATCTTCTTTCCTTCAGACGGAAGTCCATTGATAATGTTATGAGAAGTGCGAATAGTGGAGCTGTTAGGAGTACTGGTGGTCAAGAATTCCAACTTGCCAGAGCAGCACAGGGAAGGTTTAAGGATAGATTCCCTCGTTATATTAAAGCTGTTCTTGAATAGTAATAATCATCTATCATCATCATCAGCATTAATGCCGTCGTCCTATTATTATGTTCTTCCTTAGTGCTAACCAAACTGAATCCTTTTATGAAACTGCCAGAGGAGTAATAAGCCAGATTCAGACTCAGGTCATGCCAAGAGGGTAATAATAGTAGTAGTAGAGTAGGTTATCATCATCATCATCATACTGTTGTTACTCAGATCTGGCAGTTTGATGAATCTACGTCGTAAATTAGGTGAGAGGATAGTAGAAGAACGGGGTAAAGTTAAGAAGGCTTTTGTGCATATATTCGATGAATTGAAGAATATAGAGCGCGATACGGGAAAAGAAGTAGGGAAGACTACTACACAATTGACACAACTTATCGGTAAAGCTATGACCGAGTCTTTAAGAGACGTATCAAGACAAGCAACTCAATTAACGAGGCTTTGTACTTCTGCGGAAAAGGATATAAGGGGAAAATTCAAAACTTTAAAGAAGAGTGTGAACCGCGAACAAAAGAAGTTGATACGAAGTGTCGATAGGATGGAAAGAGACTTTAAGTCGGATGAGGGAGATTTCCGTCGTTATGGTGATAGATTCTCAGAAGATGTATCTAAGGCAGGTCAGAATATAGAAAAGGTTACACGTAGTATGAATGATAGAGCAGAGAAGACTGAAAGTGAATTATCTCTCTATGGTAATGATTTTACTACTAAAGGAGAATTGAGAATCAATCAAACATTACCAAGAGC